GTTCCATGGGAGGAACCAGAGCTTTGATGGGGCATCTCACCCACAGATGGAGGTGCAGGATGGCCCTAACGAGGATGGGGAGATGTTCATGCGGCCAGGGAAGCTGTCTGATTACTTCCCCAAGCCCTACCCCAACCCTGAGGCTGCCCGAGCAGCCAACAATGGGGCCCTGCCCCCTGACCTCAGTTATGTCGTGAGAGCCAGGTGAGTCTGTCCCACCAGAGCCCCAGTGGGGAGGCTGGAGAGGGCCGCCTGATAAGCTGCGGGTCTCTTCCCAGGCACGGCGGTGAGGACTATGTCTTCTCGCTGCTCACGGGCTACTGCGAGCCACCCACCGGAGTGTCACTTCGAGAAGGCCTGTACTTCAACCCCTACTTCCCAGGCCAGGCCATTGGCATGGCTCCCCCGATCTATAATGAAGTGCTGGAGTTTGATGACGGTGAGGCTCCCACCTGGGGTGGCACACAGGGTCTGAGCTGAAGCCAAGCCCTGTCCTTGGCTGGGTGCTATGTGTCTGAGATCACTGCACAGCCCTGTTCCTGACCCAGGCCCGTCTGTCCTGGTGCTGTGGGAAGGGGTGTCCTCTCAGGCTGCCCTGCACTGGCCAGGATTCCAAGGGTGGCATACCTTACCTGCTTGTCTTTGGCCCAGGCACCCCGGCCACCATGTCTCAGGTGGCCAAGGATGTGTGCACCTTCCTGCGCTGGGCATCTGAGCCAGAGCATGACCATCGGAAGCGCATGGGGCTCAAGGTGAGCGGCTAGTCAACACACGGGCTGAGGTAGAAGATGTGTGGCTGACTGCCTCCCTCTGATCCCACCCTATCCCCCCAGATGCTGATGATAATGGGCTTGCTGCTGCCCCTGGTATACGCCATGAAGCGGCACAAGTGGTCAGTCCTGAAGAGTCGAAAGTTGGCCTATCGGCCACCCAAGTGATCCTCCTGAACACTTGCTGCCATCGCCTGCACAGGCCCTTGTGCCCAGGAGCCACATTAGGCCTGGTACGGCCTCGGCTAGTCCGCTCACCCAACTGCTCTGCCTCTGGGACAAGAGGGGAGGGGGCGGAGACCAGGCCCAAGCTCCAGTCCCCTGGCTCCGTCATGGGAATAAATTAAGTTTCTCCACATACATGTGCATGGAGGTTCCGTGTGCAGGGAGTTCTGGCTCCTGAGCGGGCTGGGACCAAAGCCCTTGCCTTCCTTGTGGTCCGTCCAGCACTAACAGGTGGCTGGTAGTCGGTGTGAGACTGGCCATGGTGGAGAAATGGACCACTGTGATTATGAAGGGAGGCAGGCAGAGGAGGCGCCCATAGTGTCCTGGGCTCCAGGTCATGCTGGCTGGTGGTGAGCTGTGGGTAGAGAGGGGAGCACACCTGGCCTTTAAGCCCTCATTGTCGGGCATCCGACCCTGGTTGAGCCAGTCTGGGAAGTGGCAGACCCTGTGGGAGACCATGGGTAGTGGGTGGGCTGAGGGTGAAGTGAGTGGTAGGGGCTAGGTTCACAGTTTGTAGAGCCCCCACTCATGCTCAGCTCAGCAGCCATGGAACCCTGCTGACTGGTAGTAGTGGCCCCAAGCCCACACTGCACTCCCCACATGCTATAACCACCCACAAAGCACAGGTGGTGCTCACTGGTGCAGAAGTATCTTTAATGTCTCTGCTCAATGGGCCCCCAGTTTGGCTCTGGTCACCTTGAGTCAGCAGAGGTCCCCTGAAAGACCTGTGAGGCAAGGGCCATCCTCTCGCCTTGTGACCTGTGGGAGGCAGGGTTCATGTCTCCTGGTCCTGCTGTCTGTCCCACCCCACCCCCACCTCCCCTGGCCTCTGCCCCTGTGGTACCTTTGCTGGCTGTTGGATGGAGGCTGCAGGAAAGGGGCCCCGAGTACAGGGCCTTTGAGTGCTGCACATCTCACAGCCGGGGCGGCTTGGGCCATTGATGAAGGTGCAGGTTGGGCAGGACCAGCCAGGCTGTAGGGACAGTGAGGTTGCTGGCTCCGCCTTCTCCCAGGTCCAGCAGAGCCCTCTCTTCCCTTCTGTGCCCCAGCCCACCTGCAGCGGGCTAGGAAGGCTGGAGCTGGGGGCCTGGAGCATATGGGGCAGCCCCAGTGACTGGGGAAGCTGGCGGCCAGACTCTCCATCTGTCTTCAGGGGCCACCTGGGCCTACATCCTGTGGCAAAGTGGGTGGGGCTCAAGAGTCAGCTTGGGCGCATCCTCCTTCCTCATCCAACCGCCCACCTCAGGGCTGACCTGGGCCTTCAATGGGGGCTGAGAGCAGATAGAGGAAGGCAGGGTCCCCGTCATGCTGCACCCCATAGGAGGTGAGGCTGCGCTCTGGCATGCACAGGCACCGCCCGATGACCCAACGCTGCACTGCCGGCGGGAAGCCCAGCTCTGAGAAGACCTGCAACAGAGGTCAGCCAGGGCTGTGTCATGCTGCCCCATCTCCACTGTGGCCCCCAGAGCAGTGCTCACCTGTTCCTGCAAGGCTGCTACAGTAGAATGGGGGTGGACCTGCAGGGTGACATGGGCCGAAGAGGCAGCATCCTCAACTGTGACCTGCAGCCTAGGCCAAAATACGGGTCGGGGATAAGCAGGGAAATGGGGCAGGCCCATGGAAAGCACAGGGCAGGTCTTACCTGATGGGGCCAGGTGGCAAGCAGGTTTCCTGGAGTCTGATCCTGAGGGCCACCTTGCGCTGGGCTAGGGCTGCAGCTGCTTGGGCTGCGCCCCTCTCATCCCCATCAGCAATAGCTTGGGCCAAGTGCCCCACCAGCTCTTCTGAGGAGAAGGCCACGTCACCACCGGGCTCTGGCGGAGGCCCCGCCCGCAGCCCCTGCCCCTACCTTTTTCCATCAGGGCTCCAGGGCTCCAGGTAGTGTCTGCCTCAGGCTGGGGGGCTGTGTCTGTGGGGCCTTCAAGGGGGCCGGAAAGGGAAGAAGGGCAGGTCTCTGGGCCCTGGGCAGGGAGGGGTCTGCCTCCTAGGAAGAAAGAGACTGGCTAATGGGGAAGGTCCCCACCTTCCCCTCTTCCTTTTGTCTTGTTAATTTCCTTTGTGAATGTCCAGTAATCCACGGCTCCACGTCATTGCTTGCATTCCCACACACCATCCTGAATCCATTCCTGTCCCCTACTGTTCATGGGTCCCTCAGGAGCCCACCTGCCCATCATTTGGCTGAAAATTGATGGACAGCCTGGGGAGATTTCACTCCAGAACTGAAGTGTGGCTCAAGGGCATGGTCTCAGGGAGCACCTCAGCATTTGGAAGGATGCCTCTGGCTGCCCAGCTACCCCATGCTGTGGCCTCTGGCCGTAGAGCTGCTGGGAAGCTGCTGCCCGTGTAGTGCTGTGGTACAAGGCTGTCCCTCAGACGAGCTCTGCCGGGGCCATCTGCTGCCTTCTATCTGCTCCCACCGTCCCTACCTTCACAGAGAGCAGGCCCCAGACAGGATGCTGCCTCAGTGACTTGACCCTGCTGAGCTGGACATTAGATCTCTTTCCTACCCCTGCCTCAATGGGGAGGGGCCCACACAGCACAGCTCCTGGCTATAGAATACCTATAACCACACACAGATCCTCCAGGTCCCCTCCCAAGGGCCCCTGTGATGAGGCCATCTACCTGCTAAGATGAGAGGTGCACCCCGTGAGCCTCAAGCACTCCCACATGCCACCCTTGAGGCTTTGTGCTTGGCACCCTGACCTTTGCATTTCACCCTGGGCACACCTCTGTGAGCTCTCCTGCCACACCCTTGTGGCCCTGCATTCTCAGTCCCTCCACCGTCCGCTGTCTCTACATGCTCTCCCTGCCCTTGAGCGAGCTGAGGCTGAGAAGAAGCCAGGCTTGTCTGGAGCTGTCTGGGGTGCCATCACACATGTGGGCTCAGTGCCCTCCATTACACCCTCCCTCCCCCAGCTTTGAGCTGCCTGGGCCTCTGGCCATCACCCTTGTCACACTGCATAGTGAGCCCTCTCCTGGTGACATTCACTGGCCTCTCAACTCCCAATTCCTCTCCCTGGCCCAAGTCCAACTACCCCCTTGATGTGTCAAGGCCCAGAGGCCACCAGCCCTACCAGGTGAGCCCTCCACCTGGGAGTGGCCCTCCACTCTTCATGCCTGCTACCTCCCTCCCTCCTCCCCCTCAACCACCAAGTGCTCCACTTAAACCGCCCAGAAAGCCACCACTTGCATTATGTTAACATGGCTCCAGGGACACCTGTAACCACACACAATAAAGTCCCCTCCCTTTAGGTCCCCTCCCTAAGCCCCCCTGACCCCACCCACATCAACACCCAGCAGAGGAAATGCATTTCTCTCCACGGTACTGACCCTTCTGGCTCTCTGCTCTGGCCTCTTGAACCAGTGCTGCCCACTGCTGAGCTGCCTGAGGATCAGGGAAGTGGAGGCTGAGGGCCTCAGACGCCCCTGCTGGAGGCTGCAACTCATGCAGGCTGGGGCCTCGGATGGTGTAGGACACAGACTCCAAGGGCCACTCCAAAGGGATCTGAGGAGAGGAGAATCCAGGCTCAGCCCCACAATTGCCAGAGCAAGAAGCAGTGACAGTGACAGGCCCCAGAGCGGCTCTGCCACCACTTGTCTGTCCTACCGTGGTGACTTGTGTGATGCTGGAAACATGTCACTGGTATTTCAAATGCCAGTAGAGCTACCCAAGCGAACAAGTTTCAGCAGAGCTTCCAAGTTAACAGAAGGAATTGGCTATGGAAAACCTTACATATAGCAGCAGGCCGTGGTCGGCTATTGAAGACCTCATGAGTATGATGGTTATAAGGTGGGCTTCACTCAAGCCATGATACTTTCAGTTGCCTCAACTGCGTGTGAAAGTTAGATGTTGAAGGAAGGAGGTCTAAAGAATTGATGTGCTTCAATTGTACTGGCAAAGAATATTAAAGTACCATGGACTGCCCGAAAAACAAATCCGTCTTGGAAGAGGTACAGCTAGAGCGCTCCTTAGAATCAGGGCGGTCGAGGCTTCCTCTCATGTTGTTTGGACATACCGTCACGGGGGACTAGTCCCTGAAGGACACCATGCTTGGCAAAGTAGAGGGGCAGCGAGAAAGAGGAAGACCTTCGGCAAGATGGATTAACACAGTGACAACAATGGGCTCAAACATAATACTTGTGAGGATGGCACAGAATCGGGCAGGGCACCTTTCTGTTGCACAAGGGGTCGCTATGAGTCGGAACTGACCGGACAGCACTACCACCACCATGGGTCTGAGCCCCTTCACGCACAGAACCTTAGGAAACCCTCACAAAAGGAGTAGGTACCGTATTATACCCATTTTACAGGCGAACTAGCGTCGGCAAGACAAGAACTGCTCAAGGGCCTACAACTGGCCAGCGGCGAAGACTGGCCTCCGCCCTGCGGTCGCCACTCACCGCCCCAGGCCCCACGCTCAGCAACTCCAGCCGGAAGCGCCCGG